AGCTCCTTCTTGGGGTCCAGGGGAGGAGACAGTCCAGGGGAAGAGAGGTTTTCCCTGAAGTCCCACCACCCACATGGAGCACCCCCATGGGGGTCACAGGCTCTATGATGAACCGCAAACCAAACTGGTGGGAACAGAGTGAAAAGAGCCGAGTGCTCTAGGGTCAGAGCTCCTCTTGGCTTTGCCACTAGAGCTGCGTGGCCTCAGGCGATGCCCTTAAGCTCGCTGCCTCAGTCTCCCTATTGGTTCCAGCAAAGAGTGCTTGTCTAACGACTCAGCGGCTGGATACCCAAGTCCATCTCCTTTCTGAGTTCAGGTCGTGAGGGATCCCTGCTCTTCTTTCCTCGGGGACAGTGACCGCCTCTCCTCACTCCGAGCTCCTTCCACTCGCTCATGCTCAGATAACTTGCTGTCAGCGCTCTTCACTGAGATGAGGCCTTTACCAGCATCCGCAGGCTGGTGTGAACAGGTGTTCTGTCCTGTCCTACACATTCTAGCCCCTCAGAGCAAGGACAGACATTCCCTTCCTCTATCTCTCCCATCCTTCCTTCCTTCCCATCTTTTTCTGTCCCCCAGTTTTATGGAGGAAGCATTGATAAATATACTTAAAGTGTATGACATGATGATTTTATACATATATACATTGTGAAACGATTGCCAAGGTCAAGATAATGAACACATCCATCGCCTCACATAGTTACTTGTTTCTTGTGGGTTTTATGGGGTGCTGAGATCGCTCAAGGTCTCCTCTCAGTAAATTTCAAGTGTACAGTACTGAATGCTATATAACCACCAGTGTCACCGGGTGGAATAGTAAAATCCCAGAACTTCTTTACCTTTTTTTAAAGATTTTTTTAAAATTGATTTTTAGAGAGAGAGGAAGGGAGAGGGAGGGAGAGAAACATTGATGTGAGAGAAACATTGATTGGCTGCCTCCTGCATGACCCCCATTAGGGATGGAGCCTGCAACCTGGGCATGTGCCCTGAGCTGAAATCGAACCAGGAATCAGTAACCAAACCAGCAACCCTTTGGTGCATGGGACGGTGCCCAACCAACTGGGCACACTGGCCAGGGAAGAACTTCTTTATCTTATAACTGAAAGTTTATACCCTTTGGCCCACACCTCCCCATTTCCCTCACCCCGTCCAGGCCCTGGCAACCGCCATCCAGTTAGTTTCTATGATGTATGACATCTGCTTTTTTTTCCCCCTAAGTTTCCACACATAAGTGATTCCATGCGGTACTTGTTTTTCTGCCTGGATTATTTCATGTAGCTTTTCTTTCTTTCTAAAGCTCCAGAGCACACAGGTCAGGCCCTGTTTAGGCAGGCGTTCAACCAACACTCGATCCAGGTCATGGGTGGCTATGAGCATGTACTGTGGCCGAGTCCAGTGGAGGGGGGCAAGCCCGACACCGAGGATGTGATGAGGGTCCTCATGGAGGGTGCAATGTCAGGGGCCACCCCTCAATGCTGCAGGAACTCAGAGAAACGGGAGATGGGTCAGAGGTGAGGAAGGGGAGGAAGGTTCTGGAAAGCCACAGTGGCCAGAGCTAGGAAGAGACAGGATGGTGGGTCACGGCTGCAGGGAGAGGGGAGGTCACATTGCTGGAGCTAAGGATGTGAGAGTGTCCCAGGAAGACTGTCCTCACCTACGTCATCACAGCACGAAGGACACAGTGATACAGGCGTTTCCCACCTGGACTGAGCCCCCTGCTGCGCCTTCCTAAATGAGTCTGGACTGTCTCCTGACCACAGAAGTGGGGGGTTGGCAGAGAAAGTGATAACAGGGGCTCCTTAGTCACCCAGGCTTAGGGCTGGACACACCAGAGAGAACACCAGGCCCCTGTTGGGATGAGGGTGACCTGGTGAACAAGATTGGGCTGGATTATTTGAAAACTTACCTGTAAATCTAAGTATTATTTACTCTAGTGTTTCCCCAAACTCAGCCATCGCATCCCATCCTCACCATTTTTACTATCGCTGCCTACCATGTACCTGCACTAATATCAACTTAAATTTTCTTTACACTCACTTTTTGAACTATAATAAATGTATTTAAATAAGAAAATCTATCACAAGACTAAATGGAAAATCGGTGGTGTTTGCCTCATACAGAAGAGGTCAACTTAAAACATATTAAGATAAATGCATTACTAATAAACAGTCATCCAGGTCCCAGCCAAAATCATCTTTGGTGGTAGACACACCACACCTTAGAAAACACTCATTCACCCAATTTTAAAGACTATATTAGAACTGAGGATTAAAAGGCTGATGTATTTGCGACAGAGAGCAAGAAAATGTTCTGGACTAAAATCCTGATGTTACTTGGACACGACAAAACCAGGTCAATGGACCATGGATTTGCTGGAAGGAGGAGCCTTCCTCTAATGCAGACAAGTGATTGTTACAACCAGAAGATGAGTGTCCAAGGGGCAAACACTGCCTACCACTTACCATTTTTGGAGACAAACTGGGAGGTGACTCCTGCTTCAAATGTGGCAAAAACGGGGCTGTGGTCACTTGTCATGATGTCACTGGTGCTGCCTGCAGGGGAGGGAAGGCGTTTCTGAGCAGGGAAGGGGAAATCCTTCTGGTCAAACCAAGGATGAAAAACCCACAGCAGAAATCAACTCACGCTGATGGAAGCCTCCAGAAGTTTTACACCTGTTGTTCCACTGACCCTCCACAACCACACTCAAAAGTCTCAGAATAGTGTGTGGCACTGTCTCCCCCATGGCTAAAATGTGCCCATGCTAGTTTTTCCTAAGACCCATGACTTCTTAAGTAGATCGTGGAGTGTGAATCGTGGAGATTTCTCTGGTCTGTTGTATTGGTGAGAAGCTCACGGTCCGGAGTGGGAGGGGAGTTTAAGGTCACTGGGCTCATCAGTAAGAGAGATGGCACCTTCCCCCATCCCACAATGACTCTAAGGATCAGGAGAGGGCCATTAATCATTTTGATAAATTTTCTATACTTATTTACTTTAAAATTGCATTTAAAATTGAAGAAAAATGCCTTTTTCTTCAGTTTAATTCAATTTATCTTGAAATCTCCTCAAATGTATGTATTAGGTGGAACCATGTGAATTTCCAATATTTGACTATTTTTGACCTACAAAAATACCACTTTCATATAGTTCAAACCTCATATGCTATTTTCAAAAGAAATAAATCTGGATTTCTTTTAAAAAGTGCTCCATAGTTCAAATTTTATCCAAACCAGAAGATATCATGTTGCCGCCCAAGACGGGAAAGGATGCACCCACTTCTTCAGGTGACCTGACTAGGGCTGCAGGGAGCGCTCCTGTTTTACAGATGGACAGACCAGAGCCCTTCAGTTTAGGGCAGTTGAACCTCCCAACATGCCACTCACCGTAGGACTGACACACCACGTGCACCAGGGGATACGACTTCCAGAGGACTCGGTCACACCAGGAGGGCAAGTTGTACTTCATCTGCAAATCAAAGTCACAAGCTTTGAAAAAGGCATGCGGCCTTAAAACAAATTTTTATTTAAATCCTTACCTGAGGATATTTTTTCTATTGTTTTTCAGAGAGAGTGGAAGAGAGAGAGAAGCATTGATGAGAGAGAGAAACATCAATGTGAGAGAGAGTGAAATATCGATGTGAGAGAGACACATTGATTGGTGGCCTCCCACACACCCCCAACCAGGGCAGGGGATCAAGCCTGCAACTGAGGTATGTGCCCTTGGCCCGAATCGAACCCGGGACCCTTCAGTCCACAGGCCAATGCTCTAACCACTGAGCCAAACTGGCTAGGGCATGCTGCAACTTTTAAAATATATGTGTCAGTAAAAGAAAAGATGAACACGTGGCCTTGGTAACCCTTGGATTCATCTGCTATTGGTTCTTTATAGAATCTCCCCGTAGGAGGCTTTAAACCATTTTCTCTTGCCCCAAGTCCTGATCCATTGCCATGCCCCACACTGTCAGACTTGCTGGACTCCTGCTTTAGAACGAGATTGATTCACCTGGCTGTGCTCCCTCACCTATCCTTCTCATTCTTCTAGCATCTCCTGTATTTTTATATTCTTTTACTTTTGTTCTAACTCAGATGAACCCCTCTACCTGTATTTTAATCCAGTCTCTGCTTATCTTTTCTACCTACTCACTTTAATAACATACTCTAGCCACTACACCTGACTCACTCATTCACACATCCATCCATCTACCTACTTATCCATCCATCCACCCACCCATCCACCCATCCATCTATCCACCCACTCACACATCCATCTTCCCAGTTACTTATCTATCCATACATCCACCCACTCATTCACATATCCACCCATCTTTCTACTTATCCATCCATCCATCCATCCATCCATCCATCCATCCATCCATCCATCCACTCATTCACATATCCACCCATCTATCTACTTATCCATCCATCCATCCATCCATCCATCCATCCATCCATCCATCCATCCATCCATCCACTCATTCACATATCCACCCATCTATCTACTTATCCATCCATCCATCCATCCATCCATCCATCCATCCATCCATCCATCCATCCATCCACTCATTCACATATCCACCCATCTATCTACTTATCCATCCATCCATCCATCCATCCATCCATCCATCCATCCATCCATCCATCCATCCACTCATTCACATATCCACCCATCTATCTACTTATCCATCCATCCATCCATCCATCCATCCATCCATCCATCCATCCATCCATCCATCCACTCATTCACATATCCACCCATCTATCTACTTATCCATCCATCCATCCATCCATCCATCCATCCATCCATCCATCCATCCATCCATCCACTCATTCACATATCCACCCATCTATCTACTTATCCATCCATCCATCCATCCATCCATCCATCCATCCATCCATCCATCCATCCATCCACTCATTCACATATCCACCCATCTATCTACTTATCCATCCATCCATCCATCCATCCATCCATCCATCCATCCATCCATCCATCCATCCACTCATTCACATATCCACCCATCTATCTACTTATCCATCCATCCATCCATCCATCCATCCATCCATCCATCCATCCATCCATCCATCCACTCATTCACATATCCACCCATCTATCTACTTATCCATCCATCCATCCATCCATCCATCCATCCATCCATCCATCCATCCATCCATCCACTCATTCACATATCCACCCATCTATCTACTTATCCATCCATCCATCCATCCATCCATCCATCCATCCATCCATCCATCCATCCATCCACTCATTCACATATCCACCCATCTATCTACTTATCCATCCATCCATCCATCCATCCATCCATCCATCCACCCACTCATTCACATATCCACCCATCTATCCACCTATCCATCCACCCATCCATCCATCATCCACCCATCATCCATCCATCCATCCATCCATCCATCCATCCAAACAATATGTATATACTGGTGACCAAGACTTCCACTGGGTGCGGTAAACAAGGCAACCTGACAATGTTGATAATCCTCCTTAATCAATATCGTTATCTCCTGAAGTTCCAGCTCTCTCTCCTCTGCCTACAAATGTAAAAGTGCTCATCCTGAAAGAGCCCACCCCTGCCACCTTCCTTCAATTATTTTTCTCTTTTAACCAATTTTCTTTTTAAGAACATTCTCTTTTTGCTTCTACTTTGGGACTGCCCTTTTTTTTTAATTTAAGTTGAGGTACAACTTACATACAGTAAAGTATACTAATCTTAAATGTATAGCTTAATGAATTTTTACATTAGTATATACCCATTTAACCACTATCCAGACCAAGATTTAGAAAATTTCCATCATCACAGTTCCCCATCCCTTCCTTGTCAATACTATCACCTCCTGAGGTGAACACTGTTGTGACTAATGTCTCCATTGATAAATTTTGCCTACTCTTGAATTTATACATGGACTCATTCAGTATACTTACAGTTGACCCTTGAACAACACAGATTTGAAGTGTGCGAGTCCCTTATACATGGATTTTTTTCAATAGATACATACAATGCTATAAATGTACTTTCTTTTTTGATTTTTTGATATCATTTTCTTTTCTCTAGCTTAGCTAATTGTAAGAATATGTATATGATACATATAACATATAAAATATGTGTTAATCAACTCTTTATGTTATCGGTAAGAATTCTAACAGTAGACTATTAGTGGTTAAGTCTTTGGGAAGTCAAAAGTTGTATGTGGATTTTTGATTGCACAGGTCATCAGCAAATATCTGTCAAACAAGAATAAATAAATGCTTTATTGCATCTTTCCCCAGACACTGTGTCTTGGAACACAAGTGGCTTCAAACGATGTTAACCGGTAGTCCATAACCAATCAGGTTTGGCACCTGCATTTCCTCATGGAGAGCTAGTGTTCATAAGCCCACAAAGGCGCTGATAAGTCCTACAGCAAAGAAGCTTGTTCAGTGATGATTCACTTGGCAGATTAGCAAATATATTTGCTAAGTGAGCTTCAGAACCCAGTTAAGGAAATAACACTTTAAATCCTCTCGGAATCTTGGAATACCTGAACAGAAGGTAAATACCGTCAGATTCATGAGTCCAGCTCCTCGCCGTGTGTAGTCTGGTGGCCCAGCGTCTCCCTGAGAGCGGGTTTGCCCTGTGACACCACCTACATGCGATTTCTAACTGTCTTCCCCTTTTTTGTTGCCTGGTAGAATAGGATGCCCATCCCAGTCTGTTTACCTCTATAGGAACAGACCCGAGGGCGTGAGATTGCAAGGGGCGGAGACGGAGGGCAGGGGAGGCGTCTAGGAGGACTCACCCCCGTGGCTTTCTGCTTAGTGTAGGCGTATTTGTCCCGAGTCAGTCTTTCGAAACGGTAGGTGGGCGCGAACGTGATTTCCTCCTCCTCTGAAACCAAACCAGACCCAGGTTTCAGTTTTATTTTCCACGTTTCACATCTGGCCAAGTTTCCTCCTTCCCCAGGCATCACCTCCCGCCCCCCGTGAGGATATTCAGGAAGAAGGGGGACAGAACAATGGCTGGAGGGGGTCCCGGGGAGGACGCAGCTCTTACCGAAGTGCAGGAAAACCTTCTGCTCCTTCCTCTCCATGAGCAGCTGGTCGTGGCACAGCAGGTCTGCGTATTGCTGCTGCTTGATCTTCTGGATGATGGCCTCTGCCTCCTGGAGCAAGGTCAGGCCACTGTGACCCCCCTTCACGGCACGCGCGGGAGACCGCTCACCGCCCGCCGCACCAGGCCCCGGGGCCCTGACACCGCACCAGGCCCTGGCCCCCGCCTGGGGCTGCCAGGCCGGTGCTTCTTAGCTCAACCGTTTTACAGGGAAAACTCTGCAATAGTGAAATATCACCCCAGTAACATAAGTTCCTGGCTATTCCAAACTTGCCGAGGGACGTTTTATTTTTTCCTACTGTCTTTTAGTATCATTTCATTAATTCTTCACTAGGTGGGCAGGTGCTCTCTCTGGGGGAACTGAGGCAGCCTGGTGGAGCAGGGAGCTGGTGGAGCAGCAAGGCCGTGAAAGGCTGTGAAATCCCATTAGACCTCTGTGACCAGGGCTGGGACCTCTGCTCTGGCCAGTGCACCTCGGCCACCTTCTGGGAGTGGCTGTGACAGCCCCGTAGACTGTGAAGGGTCCCTGTCTGCCCCTCTCCTATCTGCCCACTCGGTAGGAGTGAGAGGAGAGGGGCCATGCGAAGCATCTTGAGAGGGAGGGAGTGGTCGAGGAGTCATGACGGGCACAGACGGGTCCTAAGCTCATCACCCAGGTGCACAGCCCCTCACCCAGGTGGGCAGCTCCTTACCCAGGTGGGCAGCTCCACACGGTAGTTGAGATCCCCGAGCCAAAAGAGGTGGGTAAAGCGGTGAGTGATGTTAAAGGGGCTCAGTTTCTTGTCTCCCAGAGCCAGAAACCGGAGAATGTTCATGTAGTTTTGGTTTCGCCTGATTGAACAACAGAGCAGCCACCTTAGCACAGGGCTCCCGGCTCTACCGTGGAGGGAAGGCAGAGGGGCTGGGGGGAAAGGGGGAGCCCAGACATGACTTTTCAGCCCTGCTGAGCAGACCACGCCCGGGCCTGGGAGAGTGTGCTTAGAGGGAGTCAGAATCATGAATATTCTAGATGGCTCTCTTCCACCAGGCCACCACCAGGCACCTGTAAGTGTGCCCAGGTGAGGGGTCCCCTTTAGGCAGAAGTGGTGCTCAGGTGTCTATGAGGCTAATGGCACAGGAAATGTCTGTTCCAACGACATTTGTCCGCACGGGAGGTCGCTGAGCTGCCGTTGCCTCTGAAGAGGCCACGGGAAAAGCCCTCCATGGCCCGCAGGACGGGGTCCCCGCCAGGGCCCCGGGGGTCGTTATCAGGGGCATGGGTAGGTCTGGGCAAAGCCCCACACAGGCTCTCGAGGAACAAACGCTGTTACCTGAGCTTCTTCTCGCTTCCGGAAGTCAGGTGGCTGTTGACAAACCCCAAGGAGGTTCCATTGAACATGAACGACACCCCCACGGCTCCCTTGTTCCCTGAAGGGAGGGGAGGAAGGAGAAGTGGGAATGTCAGGCAGGCAAACAGCCACGTGGCGGGACCTCGAGGCGAGGACAGAGGGCGGCCTCGGGAGTGGCTCAGCTGGTTGAGCCTTGTCCTGAGCACCGAAAGGTCACCAGTTCGATTCCCGGGCAGGGCACGTGCCCCGGTTTGGGGCTCAGTTTCCAGTGTGTGTGGGGGGAGGGGTGCAGGAGGCAGCCGATCAATGCTCTGCTCTCATATCGATGTTTCTTTCTCTCCCTCTCCCTTCCTCTCTCTCTAAAAATCAATTTTTTAAAAATCTTTGAAGAGGCCCCTCCAGGACAGTAAGAAAACGAGGCGAATGGCCAGCAGCCCTGGGTTCCTGGCAGGGCCGAGGGAGGAGGCCGCCAGTGTGACCCATGCTGGCATCTCCCCATAGCGGGCCCTCAGTCACCCCACATGCCACGCATGCGGGACAATGCGAAGGAGCCAGAAGCCCGCGTTAGAAGATCCAGGAGAAGCTGCTGGGGCTGGGCAGGCCGGCCTTCCACCCGCCTAACTCCAGGTCCCGGGGAGACCAAAGCCCACACCAGGACCACCGCTTTTTCTGTCAGTTTTCCTTTATTCCAGACCAGCGGTTCTCAAAGTGACGGCCCCGCAGCACCAGCATCAGCATCAGCATCAGCGTCAGCGTCCCCTGGGAACGTGTGGAAGGGGCCCATTCTCAGGCCCCGCCCTGGACCTGCTGAATCGGAAGCTCTGGGTGGGGCACAGTGATCTGGGTTTGCCAAGTCCTTAGGTCGAGGTAGGCGCACGCTGGCCCCTCACCAGCTAAAAATGGTTTTTACATTTTTAAAGAGTTGGGAGGAAAATTAAAAAAAAAAATTTGTGACACATGAAAATGAGATGAAATTTAAGTTTCGGAATCCATAAATAACACTTCTCTCTCTAAAAAATAAATAAATAAATAAAAACATATTTTTTTAAAAATTGACTTAACCTATTTACTTTCCCTTTCTTTAATGTGGCCACTAGAAAATTTAACCCCCCATGTGGCTGCCCTTCTGTCCGGGCTGGAGGGCCTTGAGGTTTGAAGGGCCTTGGGGATCGGCACAAAGGGGCAGTTGGGGGAGGCGGGCGGCCCAGGCAGAGATGCAACAAGCACTAGAAGGAGGTTCCTGGGCAGCAGAAGGGCGTGGGCCTCACGACAGGCCAGGCACTGTGACAGGAAGGAAGGAGGCACAGGGGGTGCCGACGCGGGTGAGTGAGGTTTGTCAGCAGAAAAGCTGAGAGAGCTTTTCACGTTTGCAGCAATTCTGTTTCCTGTTCTCTCGGGGACTGTCCTGCCCCTGACTCTAACCCCCAGAAACCGCTGGCCTCGCCCTCACCTCCGCCCACAGCCCAGGTGAGGCACCTGCCACACGCACTCACAGACAGACTCACGCAGACAGGCTGGCGCGCACGCTCCCACGCCCACGCCCACACGCAGACTCCCACTCGCGCGCGTGGGGTCCTCTGCTCTTACTTCACGTCTCTGAAGCAGCCCGATGGGTCCCACCGGCTCACAGCGGATACCAGAATTCCCACATCCCGCCCGAGTCAGTCTAGATCCAGACAGGGGTCAGCAGCCTACCCCTGGGGGCTACTTGAGCCCATGGCCTATACGTCGTGAACAAAGTTTTCCAGAACAGCCCTTCCTGTTCATTTCGTGCGTGTGTTTGCTTCTGTGTGACAGCAGACGGGACAAGGAAGGACATATGGCTCACAAAGACTCAAGTATTTACTCTCTGGCTCTTCACAGCAAGTCTGTTACCCCCTGTCCTAGGTCCCCGACACGCAAGGTGGGGCCTTGTGGGTGGGCAATGCTGACACCACCCCACCGCGTGCACGTTGGAAATGCAGAGAGTCAGGCCCCACCCGAGACCTGCTGAGTCAGAACCTGCGCTTCAGCCAGATCCCTAGAGTGCTGGTGTCGACCCAAATGAGTTTCGGCTAGGGGACCAACCACCCTGGCTCGCCTAGGACCAAGGGGATCCCAGGATGGGAGACTCCGTTTTGTTTTGTTTTTTTAATCTGCACCCAAGGATATTTTCTCTGTTGCTTTTCAGAAAGAGTGGAAGGGAGAGAGGGAGAGAGGGAGAGAGAGCGAGAGAAACATTGATGCGATAAAGACACAGCGATTGGTTGCCTCCCACATGTGCCCAGGCTGGGGCTAGAGACAGAGCCTGCAACCGAGGCCTTGGCTGCAATCGAACCCGGGACTCTTCAATCCGCAGGTTGACGCTCTAACCGCTGAGTCAAACCGGCTAGGGCGAGACTCAGTTTTTACTCTGGGGACGCCCCAGTGGGCTGGATGGGATGGACGTGCCCGTCGGCAGGACCCTGCTGGGAAGAACGCACCCTCCCTGCTCACCCAGAGTGTTGGCGATGCCCGTCTTCACATTGTCAGTGCAGATGTGACTGATCCGGTTCTCATGCTCCGGCTTGGCCAGCACCACAATGCGAATGTTCCAGAGGGTGTGGATGGCAATCTGGTGGGGAGGACAACGCTGTCACCCTCAGCCAGGGCAAGAGAGTCACACCTAGCCCTCACCTCCTGGGTGTGGGGCTCCCTGTCTGTAATCCCTAAACTCTGGGGGACTCCTAAGGATGTCCCACTGGTGACACACGAAGTGTCTTAAAGATGAGAGCCTGGCTGGACTGATGAGGTTTCAGTGAAGTAAAGATGACCTACAAGCACAGGCAGGGCAGAGGGAGGAACCTGTCACTTTAAGCAACATCCAAGGGCCCCATCGATTTCTGAACCCAGTTCCCTCTCTGGCCCCGGAAGATAGGGCAGGACCACTGAGCACCCAGACAGGACCACTGAGCACCCAGACACCTCTGGAAGCTGAGAGTGGACATGCCGAGCCCAGCCTCGCCTCCGAGGTGCTCCTGGCTGGCCCTGCAAAGCCTGCTGCCCCGGAGTCCCCCCGGGGCCATGGCCAGCTGCTCACCGTTTTAAAAGTCATGCTGGTGATTTCTTGCAGGGAGTTTCTGAGTATCTCCAGCCACTCCTTCTCCCCCAGGGGGTCCTCCTGGGTGCCGATCACGTAGATGTCATGGGGGATGTAGTCGGCAGAGTCATCCCGCGTCTTTCCCTGCCCCTTGGAGAGAAACCAGGACGTGATCTTCTTGGGAGGGGGGGCGTTACCTTCAACAGCAAAACCCAACACGGAGTGAGTCACGGGTACATCAGAAGTATTCAGACAGAGGGTGGGGTG